GCACACCCGCGGGCGGTCGCGCCGCGTCGCCGACGGCCGCACCCAGCCCGAGCCGTCCGTGCGCAGCACCGCCTTCAGCTCCTCGTACAGCTGCGCGCGCGCGGCCCATGAGGTGGGTGGTTGCAAACTTTGTACCCTGATGAACCCCGGTGCTGCTCTGGGATTGAGCGCGCCAAGTGGACCGCCTATCGGAGCATCCCTGATCTACGTATTCGCAGTCGCAATTACCTGACACAGTCTACGCATCGTGGGAGAAGACATGTGTTGTCTGGCAAATTGCTCCGTCTGTGGTGTCACGTGAAGTGGGTGTTGAGGGGGCATATAAACCTTGCATCTTGTGCCCTGATGAACCCCGGTTCTTCTCTAGGCTTGAGCACACCAAGTGGACCGCCTATTTAAGCACCCTTGATCTAATTATTCGCAGTTTCAATTACCTGACAAAGTCTGTGTATCGTGAGAGAAGACATGTGTTATCTCGCAAATGCTACGTCTGTGGCGTCACGTGAGGTGGGTGTTGAGGGGCTTGCAAACCTTACATCTTGTACCCTGGTGAACTCCGGTTGTGCTCTAGGCTTGAGCACGCAAAGTTGACCGCCTATTTCAGCACCCCTTATCGAGTTATTCGCAGTCGCAATTATCAGACAAAGTCTATGTATGATGAGGGAAGACACGCGTTTTTTGGCAATGCTCCGTCAGTAGCGTCATGACGAAGTACTCTGTGTGTGTGTTTGTGTGCGTGTGCGCGGGTGCGAGCGTGTGTGTGTGTGTTCATGCAATCTATACTGCTGTAATGGCACTTCTAGGTCATATGCTCGGCGGGCTAGGGGACACTGTCATCCCATCAGGAGCTTTTTTTTCGACCTAAATTTTGGGTTTTGAAGCTTCCGATTAGATGACAATATCCCCCTCTCCTTTTTGCCCGTGACCTTGAAGTGACACTATTTTTAAATCAGAGTATGAGGTGGCATGGACCTCACTACATAGAGAGAGGACTTAGTAATGACGCCATTGACGGAGCGTTGTCAGACAACGCGTGTCTTCTCTCACCATTCATAGACTTCGTCAGGTAATTGAGACTGCGAATAACAGGATCAGGGGCGCTTAATAAGACGGTCCCCTTGCCGTGGTCAAGCTCAGAGTAGAACCGGTGTGGCCCGCAGCTCTACTGGAGGGGAGAGGGAAGCGATCGGGCACAATCGACTCTAGTCTCATGAAAGCGTGCAGCGCCCCACAGGGGTTAGTGTAACCAGTATTCTTGTATTGATCAGCCCTGAACTAGAACGCAGGGGAGGTGGATGATACTCGAGCATCACAGGTTACATGAAATACACAATACCTACAGTCTGCGTACCTTTAAAGAAAGTATTTTTCCACTGTGCCAGGTCAGCTCTTGAACGTCACTTGGAGAATCAGTAGGTGTGTTTTCGTTTTTTTATGGTAAATGCTTCTTCACTAGTACTTAATAACTCTTTTTACTGCTTGAAAATATTTAAAGACCGTCATCCTCAGTGAACTCAAATATTTAACCTCTCCATTATAATTAATTTACATGAACTAAGAAAATATCATCATAATCATATGTTAAATGCATTTTAAACTTTGTGTATTAATACAATAAATAGAAAATATTTTTCCTTATAAATAAAGGAATAAACAAATAGGTGTAGCAATGAATCTGATTTAACGTTTGATAAACTAAACAAATTGTTTAGAAATGAAATCAATCTGATATGCGAGTTCATGATTTGTAAAAGCAGCCATTAAATATATTTCAGATAATCAGTCACATGCTCAACATATATTATTAGTCTATAACAGTCAACAAATATCAACTGCACTTCCAAATCTGGAAACATGAAGTACTATCCTATCATGTTGAAGTTACGGTTTATCAACCTTATCTCACTGAAATTTTGAATTACTTTGAAAATCACTGTAACATAAGTAAAAGAAAAATTTCTGTGTGTGAAGAGTGCGAAGTGTGAATTGTGAAGTGTGAGTTGTGAAGCGTGAGTTGTGAAGTGTGAGTTGTGAAGTGCGAGTTGTGAAGTGCGAGTTGTGAAGTGCGAGTTGTGAAGTGCGAGTTGTGAAGTGCGAGTTGTGAAGTGTGAGTTGTGAAGCGTGTGAAGTGACCTTGAAGAGCTTGGCGGCCTCGGCGTAGCGAATGGTGCCGGCGTAGAAGGCGTCGCGCGTGACGGGCAGCAGGTAGTGGCGCAGGTAGCCGCCGAACACGTCGGCCAGCGTCAGCACCATCATCTGCTGCGCGAGGCCCCGCGCCAGCCGGCGCGTCGTCTCGAAGCAGTCGGTGACGTACTCGACGAAGGCGCGCACGTACGAGTCGTTGCGCGGGTCGACGTGGCCGCGCGGCACCAGGCTCTGCGCGATCCAGCGCGCCTGCAGCAGCAGCACGCTGTCCTCGGTCCAGCACTGCTTGGCGGCGTCGGACGCGCGGAACATGACGGTGCCCACGTTGGCGCACCGCTTCTCTGCCGGCCGGTCCACGCACGCGCCGTCGCCCTTGGGCGTGGACGAGCCGGTCACCCCGCCGCGGCCCCCGCCGAACGCGCCGCCCTCGTCCGGGCCGGCCCGCGCGCCCGCCGCCGTCGCCAGCAGCACCCACGCGGCCAGCAGCCCGCCGCCGCGGTGGCGAGGAGGGCGCATGGTGCTTCGCTCCGCCAGCTGCGACCTCTCGCCGCTGAGCCGCTGGCAGCGCGCGCTCGCCCCCACCGGCGATGCGCGTCTGTCTCACGGGCATTGTCACGGGCTAGGCCTCCTGCGACTCGCTCGCCGGTTGGAGTGGGCGCGGCAGTTTTGAGGTTAGGCGATGGGGCATGAACCTCGCGAGGAATGAAAACGAGTGAGAGAAAATCAATGCTTGTCCTGTGTACTATCCTCCCATGTTTTCTTGAACTTTCATTTCGCTAGATGTCAGAGGATTTTAGGCTGGCTATTCCTCCACCCGTACCATCGAAGCAAATATGTACATCGTTTGCCGGTTCAAATCGTTGTAATTACGCTGGAGCAAGAAAAATATTATCAATGTTGCCAACTGTTGCCCATGAATAAAAGTAAACACCCCTAAAACTATATAGATTTAAAGTTCTTTGTTTCTTTTATTCATAATTTAACTTTCTGTGGTAAAAGACGGAAATGTCGAATTCCACTATTAGAGAATAATTAACGCGTAAGTGACGGTGAAATAAAATTATGAGGTGATTGAAATGGAGACTTTTATATCTACAGCGCTTTAACGAGTATTAATAGTCTAATTGTATTTTTGATGACATTACTTGGTGCATATTGTTCAATATGATGCACATCGCATTCAGTCTGCATGATCATTCTCTCTTTATAAATATTTTGTAAGAAAGTAGCGCTGCTGCAAAATGCAGTGTTATGTTGACAGGAAACTGACTACTGTGAATGTTCTTCTGAATAAAAATGTCAGAAAAACCGTGTTACTTGTAAACATTCCAAGACTTGTTCCACGTTATTTCAGAGGAATTAAGTATAGCATCTACGTCGCTATGAAACATCGTATACAAAAATGAAAGAATGGATTGATAGAATAATTGTATCGTAAGTATGTCAAATATTATGCATTGAGTAGAATGATTATATGCAAGAATTGTCTCCTTATTGATATACAGGCGTTAATTGACAAGGGAAATCTCTTCACCAACACAGTGCTGTACGCTATTAAAGAGCCGTGTAATTTGTGCTTATTACATAATGTGGTTCACATTTGTATCGAGAACGATAATAAGAAAACTCTTTCTGTCTAATTAAAATGCTATTACATATTGTTACAGAGCGATTTACGTGGAAGTGTTTGAATGGAAGATAAAGTTCATTTTGTCCGCTGTACAGGAAATGTAAATTGCTTCAAAACAGTTCTTTCGTTTGAAAATAGATTTTACACTTAACTTTTATTGCAACATCGAACTAGATATAGGTTTTAGTATTACGAAACTCAGCACTTAGCAACTTGCTCATTGTGACTGTGCCATTGAAGCACTTCTCTCCCAGTAGAGCGCTCTGATCTTCGCTGTGAATAGCGTTGATTATCGAACTCGAAAACTGACGAGCATTCCGACGAGAGCGCGCCTCGCGCCAATCGATGACGTAATCGATAAATCGAAGAGCGCGCAGGTCGGTAGCGTGCAGTAGCCCGCAGCGGCGGCGCTCGCTGGCTGTGCGTCGCGGTGCCTATCGATGGCGCTTTGTATTCAGCCCGCGCCGCACTCTGCAGCGCGCCGACAAAGGCTGCGGCCGCGCCGCCCTGCCTCCGCTGCCCTCGCCAGCGTCGCCCGCGCCGCCCCGCGCCGCGTTCTTGCTCTGTCCGGCCCGACCCTGCCCCGCTCCACCACGCGTCGGCCCCACCGCCCTCACCCTCTCGTATCCCACCCCACTCCG